TAGGCGCGGCTGGGAATGCGCCGGCCGGTGCGGGTCGCGGTGGCGGTGCGCCAGGTCTCAGAACTCCGGTGGCAGGGGCCGGCCGTGGCACCGTATAGGCAGCCGGTGGTGGCCAGTGCGGCGCCCGTTGCCGCGGGGCGTGGTGGACTGAGGCCGCCTATGCATGTTCCGGCGGCAGTGACTACCGCGGGTCGGGGTGGAACGGTGCCTGTCCCGGCGCCTGGTCATCAGCCTCGGGCTGTGCTGCCGCCGCACCACATCGCGAGGCCGGTGCAGAAGCGGCCTGGACCGGTTCAAACACATGCACTGCCACCTCGGACCGCTAATGGAGGGGCGGGAGTGCCGCGTGACACAGCTAACAGTGGAACTAGCGGACCGCCCCGGGGTCAATGGGGAGATGGTGGTTACAATGCTTATGGTGATGGCCAACACCGTGGTTCCTCGTCGACGGGTGGTGGCCGCGGATATGCTTGGCAGAGTGATGGTAATGCCGAGAGGCCTTTTCTCGGTCCTCCGGGTGGTTTTGTTGAGGGGGCGTCTGGCCCTGACTATCGGCAGCAGGGCGGATACCGCGGTCATCGTGGTGGTCGAGGTGGTCGGTTCCGTCATCGGCAGCCTCCTCCACCTGTGGCCGTCGAGCAGACGGTCGTCGCCGGAGTTGCGGAGTCGCCGGTTTTGTTCGGTCATGCCATGGATGTGGTGACAGCGCTCGCCAACGCTGAGATACCTGGGACTGAGACTACGGAGTCCGCTTCAGTGACGGTGGCAGACATGGCTGATTTGGATAGGGCGTCCAAGTGGGCGCGCAAGAAGGAGAAGATGTTGTGCTACTGTTGTGGAGAAAAGGGTCATTTTATTGCCGAATGCGTGGCTGAGCTATGTGATTCTTGTGGCAAGCCGGCTCATGATACCGGGGAATGCCCGATTTTGTGTGATCAGATGCCGTTCCTTAGTATGTATGGAGTGTACTGTGCTGAGCTCACGTTCTTTGAGTCTCCTAGCGTGAGGGAGATTCCTGAGGAGACCCAGAGTTTGACCATTGGGGTTGTGAAAGTAACCAAAGGAGAGGTCTCTGAGTCCCAGATTGTGCAGAGGCGGAAGGAGTTAGCTCCAGGTGACTTCCAGTGGGAGCTCGTTAGTCTCGAGGGCAACATGTTTAGGGTTGAGTTCCCTTCGGTTGAGGATTTGCAGAGACTTCTGAGTTTTGGGCTGTGCAGAGTTCCTGGCACAGAATGTATCCTCGAGTTCCACGAGTAGAAGAAGGTCGAACCTCAGGGTAAGCCTCTTACTCAGGTTTGGCTACGTTTTTCCGGGGCTCCCTCGAAGCCCATGCAGGATGCTAGGGTCGTGGCTAGCTTGGGCATTATGGTGGGGAAAACCGAGAGAGTTGTCGGGGATATACCCCGCGGTATGACCCGACCGGAATTATGACCCGGCCGGACTTGGCGACTCACCAGAGACCTGGCTGTACCTTGGCGACTCACTGGCAACCCGCCCGGACCTGGCAATTTACAGGCAAACCCGCTTGAGCATTGTGACTCACTAGAGACCCGGCGGGCGGATCAGACAGACGACAAGGCCCAAGGCCCAGCAGGCCGGCTTATACTCTGGTGGTTCGGTTTAAGAGAAAGTATAAGAAATATTCCCTTATAAAGGAAGCAAGACTAGGACTCCACTTGTAATAGAGTAATCTTAATCCTACTAGGACTAGTCATGTAACCCGTCCGTTCAACTTATATAAGGAGGGGCAGGGCTCCCCAAAGAGGGACAAACAATAAACAAGAAACAACCTCTAGGGCTAGACACAAAGGGGGAAACAACATGTAGGGCTATTACTGGACGATATTTCCCGGGGCCCGAAGCTGTCTAAATCCTTGTCTTGTGCGTTGATCCGCCCTGCGTCTCTCGTCCCGCTCAACCTCTCTCAAGCTACTACATAGATGCGTTGGCCTCGCGAGTAAGTCTTCACACTAAGGACATCTGCCATGACAATTCCACGACAGTTGGCGTTCATCG